TATATATATATGTATATAATTTAAAATGCTATGACATGGTTGAGTATTAGATTGCATCACAATATATCCATATGAATATTACTTGCAGATAATGATTGTGAATGCTTTGAAGGGAAAAGGTGAACGTATGACACCCAGGTAAGTTCAGGTGAGTTTATGGTATTAACGGAAATGATTGAGTTATGGTATGACTATATTGATGTTCTAAGTAACTCCAACTTTGTCCTACTGGTTGCCTATGAATTATACATGTTGTATGGTTAGAGCTCATCAACCTGCACCCCAGTGTTAGTTCTCTCGCCCAAGGACAGGGCCTAGCCTTCTCGTGATCGTTCACCTCCCGCACCACATGCTCACCTTGGATCCAAATTTGGTGCCAGCCTGTCGTACATACCACATTAGGTGGTTCCGACTCGTAGGTGACCTGCGATTCGTCGCACAGCCTTCACGTGATCGTAGCACTTGAGCGTACTTATTTACACCCAGCTTGTCGTACAGACCACTTTAGGTGGTTTTAACTCGTGTGTAGGTATACATATTGATGAGCTATTGGCTAGCATGTTATTGAGCTTATTGGCTAGCATATTGATGAGCTATTGGCTAGCATGTTATTGAGCTTATTGGCTAGCATATTGATGGGCTATTGGCTAGCATGTTATTGAGCTTATTGACTAGTATGTTATTGAACTATTGGCTAGCATGTTGATGAGCTATTGGCTAGCAGGTTATTGAGCTTCTTGGCTAGCATATTGATGAGCTATTAGCTAGCATGTTATTGAGCTTATTGGCTAGCATGTTGATGAGCTATTGGCTAGCATGTTATTGAGCTTATTGACTAGTATGTTATTGAACTATTGGCTAGCATGTTGATGAACTATTGGCTAGCATGTTATTGAGCTTATTGGCTAGCATGTTATTGAGCTATTGGCTAGCATGTTGATGAGCTATTGGCTAGCATGTTATTGAGCTATTTGCTAGCATTGATTGAGGAAATATGGTTGCAATCGTACATGTCACCATAGGTGACTTCCGACTTGCGTGCTAGTATGGGTTGTCAAACACATGATTATTTATGTTGCTAACGAGATGCTATGTCGTGGTATACTTTTGGATTTACTATTGTTATACATTTGATTTCATACTTATACGTAGTATGATTTTCTGGAAACTATACAGGTTTTGCGACAAAGGGTTACCACCTTTGATAATTGAAATGATTTTGAAAATCTTTGTGTTGCCCACTCACACTTTCTACTTTGCACCCCTTCAGGTTCTAATAGCAAATTTCCGTATCAACGATGACTTGTGGCACTCCCAAGTTCAGGTGGCTCTTATGATGGTATAATTATTATCTTACCTTACTATACTTTACTTATGCTCTGTATCACGTGTGAAAGGGGTCCATAATTGCTCATCACGCACTCGTGTACTTAAGCACTTTTAGGTTTTAATTTATTCATATTTTATACACTATCACACTTTATGGCTTTGTCACCTTTTAGGTGTTGGCCAGCACAGCTCGATTTGGAATCCTAGTGGACATTTCGAGTCAGAATGTGTCATAGACCATATCTAAACTTCAGACCTAAACTAGTACAACGTACCTAATTGTTATTTAACACATAACCAAACGTACCTAATTGACCAACAGAACCAAACAATGAAATTCCCCACATAGGCCTTTCAGTAAACACATGGTATGCTTTGGAAAGTAACCATGTCTATGCCAAGACAATTTTTAGATGTAAATTAGTGCATTCTCCACACAATATCATTATGAGAGCTTTCAAAAGTGTGGCAATGGAACTGGTTATAAATATTTCAAAATTTGAATAATTTAAAAAAAAAAAAAAAAAAAAAAAAAAAAAAAAAAAAGAGGTTACATTATAGACAAAAAAGATGACATTGTTGTAGAAAATGAAGATGGATATTACGTTTATGGGTGATAGTGAATCTACCGTTACATTTTAAAAAACTTTGATGGTGGAGGTTACGTTGCAAACAATGAATATGACATTCTTGTAAAAAATAGTAAAATCTGTGATTTTGTTATAAGTAACATGTTATGGTGCATTAAAATAAAGCCTATATTTTCTATTGTAAATATTAGTAAAATCATCTCATTAAAGCCCTTATCTCTAAAAGCCTTATTTTACATATTGTATATTGCATATACTGTTCAATATATATATAGCATGTTCATGCACACACAATTGATATGTCCAAATTTCGAATATGCAAGTTATGTTATAATATGCTACATTGTTATGTTGAATTGTGTGAGTCAAGGGAAAAAAAATAAAATAAAAAATAAAAATAGAAACACGAACTAGGGTTTTAAAAACCTAAATCGAAAAAAAAAATGATAAAATTGTAGGAAGTGTTCCTTAACTTTAATTCAATTGGAGCCATGATTATTCAACTAAAAATCCATAACCTAGTCCCTTAACTCATAAAAAAAATGCAGCTATGGTCATTTCGTCAACTCTATCAGAATTCTGTTAAAATGAGTTATGTTGGAATGACTATTGCTACAATTAGGTTGAAGTTGAGGGACCACTATTCTAATTTGGTTAAAGTTGAGGAACCATTTCTCCAATTCAGTTAAAGTTAAGGGACTATTGCTACAATTTTTTTGATTTGGTTTTACATATTTGCCTCTTGATTCAGCCTCACGTGCATGTCAATTGACTCATTTTTACGAAAGTTCTAATGGAATTGATGAAAATGACCATGATGTATGTTTTGATAAGTTAAGGGACTAGTGGTCATGAATTTTTAGTTGAGGAACCACTACTGCAATTAAGTTAAAGTTGCGGGACCATTGCTTTCCTCAAAAAACATAAAAAGAAAATAATAATAATAATAAAATTAAAAAAAAAAAAAAGAGGAAATCGCAGCTGAGCCGTGGCCTGAATGTGCACCGTCCATGCCACTCCGTCGAGCCGAGCCTGCACTCCAGCCTATGCTCCAAAACGGCACCCTGCAGCCCCATGGGCTTGCTACGCGCACTGAGCCCGTCCAGTTTTTTGGGCTTCTTCTCCCTGCCAGGCCTGCTGCTGACACCTCGCTCGGGTCAACCCAGCTTTGCTGGCCTGCTCCTGCTCCTGCTGGGCTGCCTTCTTCTGGGCTCAAGGCCCACGCATGGGCCCCCTTTTTAACTGCAAAGCCAGCCAGCATATGTGTTCCATTCCATTTCTCCGGCCAGGCCAAATTTTTGGCTTGTTCTGCTTCCAGCCTGGAACCGAAAGTATTAAAAATTCCCGTAAATATAACAGCGCAAGGCACAAAAAGTGTTTAAGTTCTAATCCCCCACTGAGGAACTTACTGGATCATACATCGTATAAGGTAGAGATTGAAAAAATAACGAAGATGAGTAAAGATAATTAAATAGTTTAATTATTTATGACTAGGATTAATTAATATGTTAATTAATCAAACGAATAAATTCGTTTTAGACCTCAGATTAGTTTTGGGCCTCAAGGCCCAATGGGCTTCAAATGTCAAGTCCAATAACTCAAGTTGTATGACAACTTGAAAACACGAAGGGCATGAAAAGCCCAATGAACCCACATGGGCGGGCATAGAAAGTGTGAGGGAGAATTGGTTTTAATTTCAATTATGTCACTCAATGTAAGTGGCTATAGAAAGGAAATTATAACTCATTCCCTCATAAGGTTCTCCACCTCTTCTAATTAGCTTGGGTAGTCATGACATACTGCTAGGTGTCACTCATGGTTTATGAAAGCTCTAAATGTGTATAATCACTAAAGGGAGAATTGAAAAGTAAGTTTCAATTCACAATCGCTTTAAAGAGTTCTAATCGCCCACTGCCTCGCTAAAAGGAACCTAATGAATCGTACACCATGTAAGGTAGAAATTTAAGAAACAACGGAGATGAGTAAGGATAATTATGGTTTAATTATTTATGGCTAGGATTAATTAATATGTTAATTAATCAAATGAATAAGTTTGTTTTAGACCTCGGTTTAGTTTTGGACCTCAAGGCCCAATGGGCTTCGAATGTTAAGTACAATAACTCAAGTTGTATGACAACCTAAAAACACAAAGGGCATGAAAGCCCAATGAACCCACATGGCCGCCCATAGAGAATGTGAGGGAGAATTGGTTTTAATTTTAATTATGCCACTCAATGTAAGTGGCTATAGAAAGGAAATTATAACTCATTCTCTCATAAGGGTTTTCTAGAGAGAAAAGAGAAAAACACAAAAAACTCTCTTTTCTTTTAGGAGGCCGGCCACCCTTGGAAGAATGTAAGAGAATATGACTTCTAAAGGTCTAGTGATATTTATTTTTACTTGTAAATAAAAAGGTATAGGTTCAAACGTGTGGATGACAAGTTTAATATCAATTTTTTTTCCACACCCCTTAATATAAAAATATATTTTTGTTTAAAAAAAATGATGTGTGATCTCTAGAGCACTAATTGGTAAGCACAAGAAAAAATTGTGGTTAGTCCACCTCGTGGAGTAATTGGCCATTTCTTATTCAATTTCCAGATGGTCTTTTCTTGATCACATTACAAAGTTTCCTCGTAAAAAAAGTAATGGTTCCCACGTCCATGATGAATAAAACCCATTAAACAATTAGGAGCTTGCGTAAACCTTTTGATCCACCTTCTGCCTCAGCCTGTAAATACCAATATCCTCCTCATTTCTTCACAACTAAAAATCCAATACATCATCTTTCTTTCTTAGTCTTCCTCTTCGTCGATTATTTTCCCACTTCACAAACACATCTTAGAAGCATGGGTGTTTTCACTTACGAATCCGAGTTCATCTCCTTCATCCCCTTCCCCCCACCCCCGGCCGCTAGGTTGTACAATGTCTTTATTCTTGATGCTGACAACCTCATCCCCAAGATTGCACCACAGGCAGTGAAGAGCACTGAGATCCTTGAAAGAGATGGTGGAGTTGCTTTCTTTCTTAGTCTTCCTCTTTGTCGATTAGTTTCCCACTTCACAAACACATCTTAGAAGCATGGGTGTTTTCACGTACGAATCCGAGTTCATCTCCGTCATCCCCACCCACCCCACCTCCCCCCCCCCCCCCCGGGGGCGCCACCACCAGGTTGTACAATGCCTTTGTTCTTGATGCTGACAACCTCATCCCCAAGATTGCACCAGAGGCAGTGAAGAGCACTGAGATCCTTGAAGGAGATGGCGGAGTTGGAACCATTAAGAAGATCAACTTCGGTGAAGGTAGCATATACAGCTATGTCAAGCACAAAATCGATGGAGTTGACAAGGACAACTTTTTGTACAAGTATAGTGTCTTTGAGGAAGATGCTATATCCGAAACAATTGAGAAAATCTGTTACAAGACTAGTTGGTGGCTTTCAGCAGCGGTTGCGGAATCAAGAGAAGGCCTCCCATCTCTTCAAGCTGATTGAGAACTGCCTCTTGGAGCACTAGGATGCCTACAACTAAACATTGTCTGCTGCTGCATTCATGTGTTATTCAGTATCGTGTCATCTTTTCCATCAAATATTGGTGTGATTTTAATCTTTTTTTTTTTATATATTTTTCCCAATCTAAAACAATGTTTGGCTTGTATGTAATTGAAGGTTTTGATTGAAGAGTAAATGTTGTATTTCCTTTCATTAGCAATAAACTAAAAATTAATGGATCTAATTATTCCTGTAAGGTTTTTTTTATTTTTTATTCTTTTCTATTTTTAATGCAAATTTGTAGTTACGAATGTTAAGTTCCATTTTCCTAACTACTTTAATTTACTTAACCGATGGGAAGCGACATTTCAATTACCAGCAAATCATAATAATTGAATAACATCTGAACCTCTCCCTCATAATACCCTTAAGTGATGAAATGAAAGCCCTGATTTCGTTTTCCTTGTAAACCATTTTGTAATTCATACCATAAATACGCCCATGAGTTAACACACCCATGATGATGATTTAATAGCTTGTTTTTCCTCATCCTCATGTGGCATGACTTACCTCCATCTAGGGGTGCAATTCGGGCGAATTCGAATGTTAACCCAATCTTAACCCAACTTTTACAATTTGGGCTCAGGTTCAGGTTGAGTTTCATTCGGGTTCATTTGGGCTTGGGTTTAATTGGGTTGAGTTCGGGTTGCCCAACTTTTTTAAGTTTAATCTTGTAACAACTTAATTTCCAAGAATTCCTAAAAAAATTAAGCCAAGTAGCATCAAAGCTACCTAACTTTAATTTCATAAATCCATCTACTATAAAGCTTTAGCATTTAGAGACTACAAATATGGATTGACTAATCAAAACCTCTTATTCCCTAAAAACTTAAGTAATTATAAAGGGTAATTTAAAAAAAAAATATTAGAAAGTGTGTTGGTTTTTGGACTTGGCTCACTTGCGTGTAGTATGAGCATTAATTGATATGGGTTACAATTTGGTTAGATTGGGTTTGGTTAGTCAGGTTGGTTTAGGGATGGACGGGCAAATGATCAACCCAACTCAACACAATCAATGAACGGGTTGAAATTGGGTTGGGTTCAAGCAGGTTATAACTAAAAAAAACACCCACTTGTTCGGGTGTAAAGTCGGGTTGGACATGGGCGGGTTCGGATTGGCCCAACCCAAGTTGCACCCCTACCTCCATCCGCGATTCTTCCTTCTTGCATTCAAATTTTCTTAGCTTATCTGCTTTTCGACTTTTAAATTAGTGTACATCACGCCATACATGTTAGGTCCGCTATGCTAATGTGTGATTTTATTTTTATATTTAACGTATTTCTTTTGGTGTTTCAAAGCTTGTTTTGCAGGTTTTTTAGAGGGGTTAGGGTCTATGTCACTTCCCTCCTTTTCTTGTATTTCTCGTAAATAAGCAAACTTACCAAACATAAATTTTTTTCTAACTTTTTCATCCATGCTATTAAAATAATTTGAGCAGTACGAAACTAAGAAACCTTTGTTTTCCTTAATGTGTCATCGATTCCTGGCTTTTTTACCCTTTTTTTTTTTTTTGCAACGGGTGTTTTACATTTCTGAGGTTTTCTATTGTCTATTGATGTTCTGCTTTACTACTAAACCCATTGAAGATAAAGTTCTGCGAGCATATCGAAGCAGAGATTAAAGTCGCAAGCCAATTAGAACATTGAGTGCCATATTATGTAGAAATTAGTGTGGTTAATTAAACATGTGCTACATCTATTTTTTAACTTAAAACTTGCCGCTATCCAATTTGTTTTTTTTTTATTTCTACCTTTGAAGTTTTAAGTTTTAACATGTCAAATATTTTTCTTTTACTATTTAAATGACACTTTCCATTTATCTAAAGAAACAACGAAAGGGAATAAAACTACATTTGAGAGTGAAATGAAAGCAAAACTTTTTGTTCGAACTCATACGATCAGTTCGTTGTCTGTCTGATAAAAGGAATGTGAGCTATCTTTGAGTACATATAGTAATCTGATGAATTTTCTTTGTTGATATGTGCATGTAAGAGCCCTAGCTGATTCTATTGTTTTCTGTTTTTTTTTTCCAATCTTTTTAATTTCCTTAGTGAACAGAAAAGATTATATTAACATTGACTTTATAAGTTCTTTGTTTTGTTTATTTTATGGTTTTATGAGGTAAAAATTACAAGAATTACGTACTTTATTTGAAGAATTAAAACTGTATATGTAAAGCAACATTATAATCCATGTTAAGTGAGAAAAATAACATCCAATATATATGTTTGTAACAAAATAGACAGTGCAGTAGAGACTGTGCTTAAATATCATCAATGCATGTGGTTAAGCATATAGAGCTTTAGTATATCTAGCCCTTCTCTAATCACTATTGTTGTCTTCTGTGGTTTTTTTTGTTGATACTGTTCTGAATGCAGAAAGTATGAAGGCATGTTGTTAGTCACATATTCTGTGTGTGTGTTTTGCGTTTTGTGTTTTGTGTTTTTGAATGTGAATCTGTTGTTGTTTGTGCTGATTTGGTTAATGAGGTTTGTTTTTGTTTCAGATTAACTTTCTTCCCGTTAAGGTGGTACTTAAAACAAGCGGTGTTGGAAAAAGGTTGGTTTTTTGATCTTCTTATTCGGGGCTTTTTAGCTGTTTCAACAAACTTTTTATGATGTGAAGGAAAGTAAATTAAATAGATCTGTTTGTGCATTGTTTTTGGTCATTGTGTTGGATTTTTTGTGTCTAGGTTTTCCAATTTGGTATTTATAGGTCAATTGAAATTTGGTTTTTTTGGCTTCACTTGGTAACGGCTTTTCGTTGTTGGAATCATTTTTCTGTGCCGTTGTTTTGCAAGCAGAGTTCAAAATCTAAAAGCCATTAAGGTATTTCGGTTGATTTTATACTCTCTCTGTGTTTTGTTATGTAAGTGTGAGTGTGGATTTGTTCTTCTATGAATGAATTTAGCTAATCTGGTTGTTTTTAATTGCAGATTAATTTGTTTTCTGTTAAATTAATTGCCTAGCGCTGGAACTGCTGTTGTTGTAAAAAGGTTGGTTTTCCAAATCTTTTTTTATAGGGAATTTTAACGAAAAGCTTCCGGTACTGTTCATTTTAACGAAAAACCATATTTTTACACTAAAAAGTCAATACTGGTACTATTCACTTTACCCTTTATTTTGTCCTTATCGTTAAAACTCAAAGTTTTCAAGCTCTTTTCATTAGTTTTCCTTTTATTTATATGTTTTTTCAGTTGTTTGGATGGACCTCTTATAATATAGTTGAGCCTGAATTAAATAGATGTGTTTGTATATTGTGTTTTGTTCAGGTGGATGAAACAAATGAAGAGAAATAGTAAACATGGTGTTTGTCTGTGTTTTTAGAATAGTTCAAACATTTGGCAAGAAGGTTGGGATATTTTGAAATTCTCTGTAAAAAAATTTGGGTCTACTGATCGTGTTTGTTTGATTGCAAATATTTTATTCGATGTGAACAAGACACTTTAATAAACTGGTTTTGCCTTATTTTGAAACCACAATAAACTGGTTTTGCCTTATTTTGAAACCACAATAAACTGGTTTTGCCTTATTTATCCATATTTTTAATGGTTTTGCCTTATTTGTCTTTAATTCGAAAAAAGAAAAAGTTGAACTAGTTTATTGTGGTGGTTCGTTTTTGAATTGGTTGGGCTTTTGCTGAATTGGTAAGAAAATTTTAGGTATATTTATTGTTATGAATTTTCTTGATCGATAGGGATAAATGTGTTTTGCTCTATGTTTGTGGAATGAGTATACATTCTGTGTTTCTGATGGAAATTTTGAACCTTTTCTTTATAGTTTCTAAATTTTTGAGCTTTATGGGGTTTTTTATGGCAGTTTTGAGGAAAAGCATAACCAAGAAGATTACTACTACCACGATGTGAGTGCCCTCTATCCTTAATATGGTCAAATGGGGGTGCAAATTTCATATTTTTCTTAATATGGTCAAATGGTATGCAAAATAGATTGGGTTAAGCTTTTGGATTTAACTCTCTCACTCTCTTTGAGTTTGGGTTCCATTTATGGTTTTCCTTCTTCGTTTCTCTATTTCAGTTTTCCTTTGGTTGTGACCCATCTTTATTGTTTTGTTCATTCATCTTTAACTGCTATCGGTATATCACGAGGCCCAGAGCAAACTGAGAAATTGAAAAACTTTTGAATACTCAAAGCTTGCCCTTTGTCTAAAGTGCTCATAAAAAAGTCTCATTGCCACAAGGGGAGTATATAAGACTGATGAGAGTCAAGTATCCATATATATAACTATAAAACGATTGTGTATCCCATTATTTGGAATCTTAAGAAAGAACAATAATTTACTATTATGAAAGGTTTTAACAGTTAGTTTTGAGCCGTGATCCTGATTGGTAAGCTTGAATACGATCCACGGTAGCTTTTTCTAGAAAACCTTAAGTGCAATTGTTCTTTCAAACAGGAGTTGCATATTCTGCATCTTCTACCTTTTCAGTATATTTCATTTTGCTATTCTCTTTTCCAATACTTTTATCAATTTCTAGATCGATGCTCATGCTGGTAGTGTTAATGATTTGGCATTCTGCAACCCGGCTAAGCAACTCTGTGCCATAACTTGCGGTGATGATAAGGCCATTAAGGTTGGTTTTGAAAAAGTGGTGATATAATAGGTCGTACAAAATGTCCATGATGCTCCCGTGCATTCTGTGTGCCCTCATAACAAGGAAAATGTCCATGTAAGGACTTCGCTTTCATATTTTTTTGATCCCTTGATTTGTCTCTCTTCATTTGCCTTGTATGAATGATTTACTCTGTTTTGAAATTCAGCTTATGTCTTTGTGTTTCAGTTTTTTCTTTCCAACATCAGTAAATCGTATTGCATAATTTTTGTGAAGAATCTATTCTTCAGCAGAATGTGCTTTAAAGAAAAAACAGTTTGTAAAGTCGGAGAAACAGCCAGGTGCCACTGTGTAAGATTCTAGGGACTGCTGAATTGGAATACTCAGAGAAACGATATGCATAGGGATCACTAATAATGTTTTTTGTGTGTGTATGTGTCTCATATGTTGAAGGTACCCTAATATTAGCAGTCAAAATGGAGCAATTTGTCTGGATATTCTGAGAGACCAATGGAACCCAACTCTGATCACTCCGCATTTCCTGCAAGGTGAGTTGTTCATATCTTTCAAACTTAATAGTTTTTACTTTTCTGCGTATATATTCTGTCTTGCATTCTTTTGTTGGTTTTGAAACTATAATCCATTGTACCATAGCACTACAACTTTCCATAAAATGGTTCCAATAATATAGTTTCATATATATTCATAAATTGGTTCAAGGGATTCCAAGTGCTTCATTCACCTAATTTATAGTCTTCTTGTAATGATTCTTTCAAAAAGCTCAAACATCTTTCAATATAAATAAAA